AGACAGACAGACAGACAGACAGACAGACAGACAGACAGACAGACAGATATTCTCTATAAAGAAAAAGCATCATAGCTAATTTTCCTAAACTTTTAGAAACTAGAGAACTCCATGTAGTGTCAGATCCGTGTATCTGTCATTTCTTCAGTGGAAGAAGAAAAGGTGGGGGGAGGCTGATAAAGAAATCCTTTCTTGATGTAACCTGAATATATTTAATCTTATATCGAATTTGTATAACCCACACATGATACGATGGAGGGAGAAAAGCCAGATGGCCAGAACTATAGCCTCTGAGAGGCACAACCAGGAGATGAGAAGGTCATAAAAATTCCACAGTGAGATTGTACTTTGGGAATCTCTTGAATAGTTTGTTCTAACAAGAGGGGTGGGGAGGAATTAACATACTGGCTTTTGTTTCACTAAATACACATCGAGAATAAGGGGAGGGGTTCTAAACTCCCTTATCTACCCCTGTATGCCTGAGAGACCTCAGACGCTGCTTTGAACTCCTACAGGGAGTTTGAACTCCTACAGGGATTGTCTCATCTCAGTAAAGAATTCCTCTGTGATACGTTTGGATACGTTTTCAGAAGTTCATTCTTGTTGAGTGAATGGGAAAAGTTCCGTAGCCTGACATGTAGATTTTTTTTAAAGCTGTTCAATAACTGAGGCAGATGATTTTTTATTTTTTTTTAAGGAGAAATATATTTCAATCCCCAAGCGCTGACGGATATTTTCATCTGGTCTTGCCGGATCGTTCCGCAACGAGATCCTGACTTTATTGGAAGTGACTGCATTTAATTGTTGCATTGATCCCTGATCCACGATTCTTTCTTTCTTTCTTTTTAAGGCCGGAGGCGTACGACTGCCTTGGAAACGCTCTGTCCTTCCACTTTCGCACAAAGTGCACGAGCTACACAGGAGTTGCTTAGCAAGATCTACTGAAAGGGGAAGAGGAGAGGTCACAAGGATTCTAGCAACCGGATTACAGCTGGTCCTTGACTTACGAGGAGCCCAAAATGTCTCTTGTTAAGCGAGGTGTTTTTGTTTTAGGCTTTGCCCTTGTTTTATAACTTTCCTCGCCATAGTTCTTAAGTGAATCACTACGGTTGTTAAGCGAGTCATACATTCGTTAAGGGAATCTGGCTTCCCCCATTGACTTTGTTTGTCTGAAGGTCGCAAAAGGGGATCACGTGGGACATTGTGACCACCGTAAATGTGAGCCAGTCACCAAGTGTCTGAATTTTGATCATGGGGATGCTGCAACGGTCGTTAAGTGTGAAAAAATGGTCATAAGGCACGCTCTTCAGTGCCGTTGTACATTTTGAACGGTCTCTAAATGAACTGCGTTAAGTACGGGTAGTCCTCGACTTACAACAGTTCACTTGGTGACCATTCAAAGTCACAATCGTGCTGAAAAAAGTGAGTTAGAGATCATTTCTCACACTTGTGGCCGTTTCAGCATCCCCATGGTCACAGGATTTGCATTTGGATGCTTGACAGCTGACTCACATTTATGACGGTCAGCGGTGTCCCGGGGTCATGTGATCACCTTTTGGGACCTTCTGACCAGCAGTGTTAATGGGGGAACCACATTCACTTAACAACTGTGTCACTAATTTAACAGCTGCAGTGGCTCGCTTGACAAATGTGGCAAGGAAAGTCGTAAAAGGGGGCAAAACTCACTCACAGGCTCCATTGTGGTCGTAAGTCGAGGACTACTTGGAAAATAGATCAGAGAAGGAAAAAAAATGCTGCTGCTTTTGGGCTCCAGTCTTCCTCTCCTTATTCTCAAGGTTTTCATGATGATTAGGGGACGGGAGGCCAAAACATATGAAGAACAGCCACAGGAAACCTAGACCTAGAAAATCCAGAACTACGCCACCTCCGGTCCGATCTAAGTATAGTACATAAAATCATACGTTGCAATGTCCTACCTGTCAATGAATACTTCAGCTTCAACCATAACAACACAAGAGCAAACAATAGATACAAACTTAAAGTTAACCGCACCAAACTTGATTGCAGGAAATACGACTTCAGCAACAGAGTGGTCAATGTCTGGAATACTCTACCTGACTCTGTGGTTTCTTCCCCAAACCCCAAAAACTTTAACCTTAGACTGTCTACTATGGACCTCATCCCTTTCCTAAGAGGCCTGTAGGGGGCGTGCATAAGCACACCAATCGTGCCTACCGTCCCTGTCCTATTGTTTCTCTTATTTTTCTTATACGTATCTATCTCATGTATTCAAAACTTTATTTATTCTTATACCTGTACCTTGTAAGCGATTGACAAATCAAATAAATACTAAATACTAAAATACTAGGAATTGGGTATCAAGGCTCAAGGTTGACTCAGTTTTCCATCCTTCCGAGGTGGGTAAAAAGAGGACCCAAATCGTTGGGGGAAACAGGCTGACTCTGTAAAACTGCTTAGAGAGGGCTGTAAAGCACCATAAAGCGGTATATAAGTCTAACTGCTATTGCTATGCCTAGATTAATGAGAAGAAGGACATGGAGTGACATGAGAGCAGTCTTCCAGCATCTCAGGGTTTGCCACAAAGAAGAGGGAGTCAAGCTATCCTTCAAAGCACCTGAAGGCAGGACACGAAGCAAGGGATGGAAAGTAATCCAGGAGAAAAGCAACCCAGAACCCAGAAGAAGAAATTTCCTGTCAGTTAGAACAATTAACCAGTGGAACTACTTGACTCCAGAAGTTATGAATGCTCCAACACTGGATGTTTTTAAAGAAGAGATTGGACAGCCATTTGTCTGAAATGGTATACTATAAGGTCTCCTGCTTGAGCAAGGGGTTGGACTAGAAGACCTCCAAGGTCCCTTCCAACTCTATTATTCTGTCATACAGAAGCTGGAAGAGGAAATTTAAGTGCACGATTGAACCTCCTTCAGACATACACAGTGATTTAGATCAGGGGGTGTCAAACTCGCAGGCCAGATGCGTCACATACTGGCCCCGCCCCTGCCCGGTTTGGGGAAGGGGGGAAAGTCCCTATACGTCATGTGACGCTGCCGTGACGACATGAGTTTGACACCCCTGATTTAGATGTTCAAACTCGAAAACAAAGCATGGCTTCATGAGGTAGCCAACATTCTCCATCTTAATCACCGCTGGTTTGGATGACGTCTCAGAGCTAAGTGTAATATGGCTCCGTGAGGTGTTCAAAGCTCCCCCCCACCTTGATTAATTCTTCATTAACTCTTGTCCTTGAATCCACCTGGATATGGGGCTTGTTCTGTCTATGTTTTCAACCACGTCTTTGTCAGGATGGGTCTTTTGTTAACCCAGCAGCCTTTCTTTCTCTTCACATTAAGGGCTGAGATTAAACTGGAAACCCAGGTTTAAAAACTCTGCTCGGGGGTGAAATTGATCTATGGGTAACCTTTACCTTTAATCAACCTTTTTCTTTTCTTTCTTTTTTTAAAAATTCTCCTCCCGCCCTTTCCTTTCTATTTCTTTTCCTTTTAAAGGAATACAGGCAGTCCTCGACTTACAAAAGTTCATTTAATGACCGAAGTTACAACATCACTGAAAAAAAAGTGATTTATGTCATTTTTTTTCCCACACTTATAATCATTGCAGTATCTCATGGTGACCAGAATTCAGGCGCTTGGCAACTGATTCATATTTATGACGGTTGAAGGGTCCTGGGGTCACGTGATCCCCCTTTGCGACAAGCCAAGACAATGGGGAAGCCAGATTCGCTTAACGACCGTGTTACTAAGCTAACAACTGCGGAGATTCGCTTAACATCTGTGGCAGGTAAGATTGTAAAATGGGACAAAACGCACTTAACAAATGTCTCACTTTAACAACAGGAATGTCAGGCTCAACTGTGGTTGTAAGTTGAGGACAACCTGTACCAACAGTAGTGCTACCAATATTTATGTATGTATATATGTATGTATGTATGTATGTATGCATGTATTATGGCATAACGCATATGGATTAGCAATACATATTAATTTTTAATCCAGATTTAATCCAATAATCTATCCATACACAAATATCAATAATTTAATCCAATAATTTAATCCAATAATCCAATAATTTAATCCATCTATACACAAATATCAATGCCTAGACAGATGTGAATGTTCTTATAATAGTAATAACTACAGATTTTTAGTTAAAATGATGTAAGAAACTTAGTTCTATACTTTTCAATAATCAATTAATGAGACAAGGAAATTCAAATTTGGTGGTATTTGCAAACACTTTGTTCATAAAGGTAAAAGTTCCCCTCCCACATGCATGCTAGTCGTTGTTTCTGGCTCTAGGGGGCACTGCTCATCTCCGTTACAAAGCCAAAAAGCCAGTGCTGTCCAAAGACGTCTCCGTGGTCAGGTGGCTGGCATGACTAAATGCTAAAAGCGCACAGAATGCTGTTACCTTCCCACCAAAGGGGTCCCTATTTTTCTACTTGCATTTTTTACATGCTTTCGAACTGCTAGGTTGGCAGAAGCTGGGACAAGGAATGGGAGCTCACTCCGTGACGCGGCGCTGGGGATTTGAAGCGCTGACCTTTCTGATCGACAAGCTCAGCATCAGCCCCTGAGCAACCGCGTCCCCTTTGTTCATTTAGCGGCACTTTATTCTTTATCTACCAAGTCTCCTTACACCTTTTCTATTTCATTTTGTTTCTTTAAATGTAATAAGTACATACAGTCCTTGACTTACGACCACAATGAAGCCCAAAATTTCTGTTGCTAAGCGAGAGAGTTGTTAAGTGAATTTTGCTCCACTTTACTTGCCACAGCTGTTAAGTGAATCCTTGCAGTTGTTAAGTTACTAACACAGGTTGTTAAGTGAATCTTTGGCTTTCCCATTGACTTTGATCATCGGAAGGTCGCAAAATGTGATCACATGATCCTGGGAAACTGTGAACATCATAAATAGGAGCCAGTTGCCAAGTGTTTGAATTCTGATCACGTGACCATGGTCATAAGTGTTGTGCCCCTGTCGGAATCTGACTCGGAGGAGAAAGCCGAACAGCTGACAGGGAGTGGGAGTGTGGTTCCGTTGGCTGTGGAAGAAACTGGGGAAGGGCAAAGTCCGGCTGGGCAGAGCAGGGAAGGGGGAGAACAAGGGAGAGAGAGTTCAGAGAAAGACCCTGGCCCACCCTCTCTTCATCCTAGGGCACGCAGGGAGGAATGGAGAAGGGAGCAACGTGGGCTGCATGGCTTATGGGGGAGGAAAGGGTCCTGATTCCCTTCATTAGCTGCAGCTGGGAATACAGTGTATAAAAGAGGAAGCTGCGCACAGCAAGTTGTGGCTTATCTGGGTTCCTGGCATCTTCCCAACTGTGTGAGTTTTGCCGTGCTTTCAAGTCGGAAATTCCTGCTCCTGCCCTGCCAAACTAATTACTTCTGTTTGGTTTGTTTGGATTTTAAGATACAGTTTGTGGGTACCTTGTTTTGGACTGAATTTTCTACAGTCAAAGGCTGTTCCTGGGAGAGTTTTTCTCCAGCCCAGAAGGTAACCTGGACATTGGCGGCAAAGTTGGAGATACTAAAGGGACTCTTATTGCTTATCTGTGTTGCCTTTGTGCCACACCCCAGGTCATCACAAGAAGTGTGAAAAACAGTCACAAGTCACTTTATTCAGGACCATTGCAGCTTCCAACGCTCACGAAGCGAACTGTTTTAAGTCGAGGACTACCTGTTCTCCTCAGGGGCACCAGGTTTGAAAAGGTGAACTTGGGGAATCCGGGGGAGAGGGGTGGGCGGGTTCCAGTGGGACCACAGAGCTTCTGCCAAACAAGAGAAAGATGGAAAAAAAGAGAAAGGTAGAAGAACTTTCCTTCTGTCTCACCTCGAATGACCTTCACGTTGAACCGGAGTCGCCGTAAAGCTTCTTCTGCGTTGAAGTTACATTTCACCAATTCGTAGAGCGCCTGTGGGAGACACAACGAGCACGATTGGAAAAGCAGCTTTGGCTATGGGGACAAGAAAGAGGCTGCTGAGAAACAGGAACCTGAGCAGGGAAGGGGATGGGAAGAAGCAGTGGGACCTTGTCATTGTCTGGCACGGTGCACAAAAACGATAGGATAACAATGGCTGAGGAGGGACCTGGCTCAACTGCAGCGCCCCTGAGTGGCATTACGAAGAAACGTGTGCAAGAAAACAACCAAGCTCAGGGAGCACCAAGTCCTTCTCCTCCATGTCCTCCTCCAAGTCCTTCTCCTCCAATTCCTCCTCTCCACCACCTCCTCCATGTCCTCCTCCTCCTCCTCCATGTCCTCCTTCTCCACCACCTCCCCTTCCTCCACCTCCTCCATGTCCTCCTCCTGTCTACCTCCCCACCTGCTCCATGTCCTTCTCCTGCTCTACCTCTCCTCTTTCATGTCCTCCTTCTCCACCACACCTCCTCCTCTCCATGTTCTCCTCCATGTCCTCCACCTCCTCCATGGCATCCTTCTCCACCACCTCCTCCTCCTCCATGTCCTTCTTCTCCACCACCTCCATGTCCTCCTCCTGTCTACCTCCCCACCTGCTCCATGTCCTTCTCCTGCTCCACCTCTCCTCTTCCATGTCCTCCTTCTCCACCAC